GTAAAATTATATTATATATGAAGATTAATTTTTTATAATTTTTCTAAACAAAAACTTCTTATGTAAATATTTAATTCTTACACTTTCAACGATTGATTTGTTTAGGAAATCAGTACCCGATATCAGCGCACCAAACTGACGAAAATTGTTCAAAGACTGAATATAAATACGCAGCGATTGCGGAAGGTAGCCCCAGTGGTGTCCGTTGCTATGAGAGGGCTACTCTCTATGCACTCGTAAACATATATTATACTATATAGTCTTTAATGTGCAAAAAAGCAAGAAACTTTTGTGGAGTGCATATTGAAATACATTCGAAGGTTGGGGTTGTAAACATATTTAATGTAAAATAATAAAAAATAGTCTATTTAATATATATATTTAATTAAATTCTACTGTTAGTGAAGTTTTTATTTTAATTGTATATTAAGGGATTCTCTAGTATAATGTGTAACACAAAATCAATTGCTTGATATCAATGTTATTGTGAAAATATAAAAATACAAACTCATATATATAAATTTCCCTAGCAATAGAATACGAGCAAATAAATACTTTTTAAATGGGCATGCTAAGAGCGACATGTTTCTAGCAAAATGTTGCTGCGTCTCTAGTCAACATTTTAACATACTCAACATTTATTGTTTCTTATTATTACATGGAAATTAAAAATTGAAATGTTATTGAAAATTAAAAGTAATAAAAATCACAAGTATAATTAAAATGGTAACAAAAGGTTATTGTTTTAAAAAGTAAATAGCTTTCATATAATTTCGTTTAACCAATAAGTAATAAAATGTTGATAAGAGCGTTGTTGTTGATTGGACACAGCGACATGTCATTATGGAAATGTAAACAGAGCCAAGTTGCATATTTTTGTATTTAAGTCAAAACCTATATAAAAACATATAAACATGAACATGAAAATATATTCAATATCGTTTACTACAATAAATCAATTTAGATATTGACAATGTTCTCATTTTTTAGTTAACTTACTATGTTCTTCATATATCCGTCATACAAATAGTTCTACTGCAAAAATAATAAATAATTTATAAAATTAAAATAAAATAGAACCCTGCTAGTCCGAATTGATTAAAGTTAGTATTAATTCGAATTACTGAGATATTTGGATAAAGGGAGTTATATTAAAAATACAAGAAAAGTCTTATATATATTTACTACTCATTAAAGTAATCCATAAATTAAATGATAAAAAGCGTAGTAAAGTGTGTCCAAGATCAATGATCAGACATGTTCCTAGCATGTGTTAAGGATTAGTAAATCAGTAGTCGATCCGAACTACAAGGCACATAATGCATTTTATTTTATCTAGTTTTCTCCGAATTACTGGAGATTTACTTTAATTCATTTGCCATAGATATTTTGCTATTAAACACTATATGGTAGAATCAAGACAAGAAGTCATTTTAATTGCAAATTTATTATTTTTTTTTTATAGGTATATAGTTTTTGCATTTGCATTATTGCTTCACAAACATCAGTCCACAACTTAACTTGAATGTATGTTTAATTCAGTGAACTAGAAAATACAGAAGGGCTACAATTAACAGCATGGAAAATACTGTCATGCGTTCTGGAAAAAACTTTCTGTAGAAAGCTTCTTAACATTTTGGCTACGCTACCCTAAAGTATTTCTTCGAATCCATTAGCTTTGTAATCTTTTTTTGTTTTGTTAATACTTTTTTTATACATTACTCAATACGTGCGAACTTGGATTCTAATCAAATGTACAATTTGTTGTTGTTGCACGATGACGTTCTACTCTTTGTACGAAGCTTCCCAAGTTCCAGTCATATATGATTCTACAGAAAAACCGTTTTCTGTCACTTTATTAGTATTGTTGCCATAAACTTTTTTTACCATTTGAGATTAGATCAATTGACTTTTGCGCCAATACGTTTTCAGCGGTGCAATTGCAAACGGTAGGAACAATTTGTCGCTTTTTCAAACAAAGACCAAAGTTCAGAATTTATTAATAAAAAAAAAAGTTTTAAAACTCAGGGGTAAAAAGCTACTTACTGATCGAACTCTATTGATTTGCGAATATATTTTTCAATTCTGTTTATTTTATGAATTGCTAAGCGCGAATGCTCTCTATTCTTTCTTCTGTTTATAGGTTATTGTTTATAATTGTTGGTATGCAAATAAATTGAAAATTTTAAATTTTAAATAGAAAATAGAAAATAACAATGAGTATGCAAACCAAATTTTTATTTAAAGTTCTTTATATTTAAACAAATTAATGGGAAACAAAACATTGCGATCAATCAGATCGGTGAGAATTTCCGTTTTGAATAATGGGTGAAGAGTCTTTATTTCAATGAGAAGTAAACACTATCTTTAATTGTTTATTTAGATCATGAAAGCGTAATATTTTGTAAATAAAATAAATACATTTGTTTAGTACATTAGAATCACTATAAGAACTTTAAGCTATAAGTTCATAAATCAATATTCATATTTGTTTGATTATATATTTAATATGCAATTTATTGTCATTATTTAGTTGGATTTTTTCAATGTTTATTGATGATGAGTTTTTTAAAAGGCTATTTAAACTTATACCAGTTTATAGTTTTTTTTTAAATTTAATTATATAATTAAGAATTTATTAGCATTTCATTTAAAAAAGATAATATATAACGCTTGTAAATAATATATGAGATATAATAGATTTAATAAGCAATAATTAGTTTTTGTTAGGTACTATTGTCTTAAATATAAGCTAGGATCATTGTCTACTATTAAACCATAATACGGTATAGGGTATTGCGTTTGAACAGAATATATCAGCGATGGTTCAAAGACTACAGTTGACAAAGCCTTGGAGAATTTAGTCGCTGTTGATGATTACATTTCTGCTTTCAATGCTTTATAAAACTGGAACTTTAATATTATTATTGAATATACCTTCACGCTTTACGTAAAGAGATTATCTTCAATTACGTAAGCTAAAAGCTTTACAATTCTTTTACTGATTAACATTAAGAAAATAGTAAAAACATGCATTAATGTTATTAACCATACAGAAAAAATGTTTAAAAGAGTGTATTTAAAATTTGGAAAAATTATAATTATTTTAGAAAAAAATTATCAGAAGTGTCTAATATAAATAATGACTATCGTATTATTATTTTGACTGCATAATTAATTTAATATATACTATAAAAATTATAGACTGGTTTAGATAAAAAAATTGTATAGGATTATTCTATAATTAATGAAGCTATTAATCGCTTGAATTTTTTTTTTTTTTTTATAAGAAAAAAAGTTATATAATTGTGATAAAATAATACCTAGATTAGATAAATTAACTGTGGAAATCATACTATTGTAGAGAAAGATAAAAAGGTTATATATGTACATATGTGCAGTTTCTGCTTAATTTTTATAAATAACGTGAGCGATTATTTCGCGTTGATATTATTTTTTACTCTGTATGAAATGTTTTATATTTGAAAAACGTTGATTATAGAGCATATGGTGTTAATTATCAAATTAATAGAATATTCTAAAAAAATGTAATTCGTATCTTATAAAAGCTAAAAATGATTATAAATAGTGTTAGTTGAATTCTCTACAATTTTGTAGTTATTATATTTTTTATAAAATATAGAAAAAACATTTGAATATGTAATATATATAAAAAAGATTATTAATCATAATG